GAATTCTGGACAATGCCCCGGGCACTGGGTGCCCGCAGGAAAGATTCTGAGCGTGCACCAGAAGTGGGCTCAGAATGAGGACCAGGTGAGCAGCGGCAAAGGTGGGGCCAGAGTGGGGAGAGTCCCAGTGGCCCATGCTGGGGCCCAGGGACAGACGGGCAGCCCCAGGGACCGAGGGGTCCAGGGATCTGTGGGGCGCGGGAGGAGAGGCCCCACCTAGTCCATGCAGGAGGTTGAGGTGTCCTGGGACCACGTGTCCAGGCCTGAGGGATCATGGGAGGTCACCGAGAGGACACAAGATCTGCTTTGGGACATTTCTTTTTAAATTAAATTGATTTGCCAAAGCAGCTTTACTGAGGTATAGTTGAAGAAATGTACATATGCAGTATTTGCTTTTTTTTTTTTTTTTTGGAGACGGAGTTTCACTCTTGTCCCCCAGGCTGGAGTGCAGTGGAGTAATTTCGGCTCACTGAAACCTCCGACTCCCAGATTCAAGCAATTCTCTGCCTCAGCCTCCCAAGCAGCTGGGATTACAGGCCCACGCCACCATGCCTGGCTAATTTTTGTGTTTTCAGTAGAGATTGGAGTTCATCATGTTGGCCAGGCTGGTCTCAAACTCCTGACCTTAGGTGATCCTCCCAAAGTGCTGGGATTACAGGTGTGAGCCAACATGCCCAGCCCACCCCCGCCTTTTTTTTTGTAGAGACAGGTTTCACCATGTTGGCCAGGCTGGTCTCAAACTCCTGACCTCAAGCAATCCACCCACCTTGGCCTCCTAGAATGCCTGGATTACTACCGTGAGCCACCACACCTGGCTAATTTTTTTTTTTGAGTTGGAGTTTTGTTCTTGTTGCCCGGGCTGAAGTACAATGGCTCCATCTCAGCTCACTGCAACCTCCGCCTCCCGGGGTCAAGCGATTCTCCTGCCTCAGCCTCCCAAGTAGCTGGGATTACAGGCGTGCACCACCACGCCTGGCTAATTTTGTATTTTTCGTAGATAGAGGGTTTCTCCATGTTGGCCAGGCTGGTCTCAAACTCCTGACCTTAGGTGATCCTCCCAAAGTGCTGGGATTACAGGCATAAGCATCTGCTCCTGGCTAATTATTGTGTTTATAGTAGAGACAGGGTTTCACCACATTGGTCGGGCTGGTCTCAAACTCTGCCTGGGGCTCCCAAGGAACTGGGATTACAGGCATGAGCCACCACACCCAGCCCAATATCTGCAATTTGATGAGTCTGCACATATGCAGTCACCACACTCAAGATGACAGACCTACTCATCACTTGCCAAGGTCCTCTGTGTCCCACCGACTTTATTCTCTTGTGGTCAGAACCTCAGTGTGAAATCTACCCTGGGAACAGTTTGACGTGCACGGCAGACCGAGGCATTCCGGAAGCCTCAAGGCCGTAAGACCACGGGGGAAATGAAACCTAACCGACCCACATCTGCAGAGACCTGAGCCTCAGTCTCCCCTCTCATCCTGACGCTGCCTCAAGCAGAGGGTCTATTCTGAAACTCAGAGTTGGGGGACTCGGCTGACCCCTGCCAGGGTCCAGGCAAGGGCAGGGGAATGTACAGAGCTGGGACCCCGCCCAACCTGGACCCCAGGAGCCTCTGAGCTTCAGCAGCCGCCCCCTCCACCTCCACCGGTTGTCTTAGTCTGAGCTCCCAGCCTCCTCCTAGGGACATCCAGAGGACAGAGGTGGGAGACAGTAGGGAATAAAAATTGGGGGTGGGGAGGCAGCCCTCCACATCTTCACCCCCACCTCTGCTGATCCCTCAAGGTTTAGAGCCCCCACGCAGAGTGCAGCACCCGAGACATGCTCTCCTGGCAGGGTAAATGGGCTGCAGGTACTTTCCATAGAACTCAGTGCTAACTGTGCACTACCTGCAGGAGGCAGTGTCTTCTGTATACCTTCTTTGCAAGATGCAGCGCCTGCTGTATACATTCTCTACAGGATGCTGTGACTGCTGTATGCACTCTTCTGAAGGTGCCGTATCTATTGTATACACTTTGCAGGGCAGTCTAGTATATGCATTTCTGCAGGATGCAGCGCCTGCTGTATACATTCTCTACAGGATGCTGTGACTGCTGTATGCACTCTTCTGAAGGTGCCGTATCTACTGTATACACTTTGCAGGGCAATCTAGTATATGCATTTCTGCAGGATGCAGCGCCTGCTGTATACATTCTCTACAGGATGCTGTGACTGCTGTATGCACTCTTCAGAAGGTGCCGTATCTACTGTATGCACTTTGCAGGGCAGAGTCTAGTGTATGCATTTCTGCAGGATGCAGTGCCTGCTGTATACATTCTCTGCAGGATGCTGTGACTGCTGTATGCACTCTTCTGAAGGTGCCGTATCTACTGTATACACTTTGCAGGGCAGAGTCTAGTGTATGCATTTCTGCAAGATGCAGCACCTGCTGTATACCCTTCCTGCAGAGCATAATGCCTGCTGTGTGTGCTCCTTGTGGCGCTGTGCCTTCTGTACCCCTTCCCAGCAGGGCACAGTGCCTGCTCTCTGCACTCCCGGAGGAACTCTGTGGGCTGCCATCTGGGAATGAGGCACGTCTGAGGAGGACACAGTTGTCCTGATGACACATGTGCTGGGCTGACTTTTTTTTTGGCGGAGACTCTCTGTCCCCCAGGCTGGAGTGCGGTGCAACCTTCACTCCTGGCTGATTTTTGTATTTTTAGTAGAGACGGGGTTTCACCATGTTGGCCAGGCTGGTCTTAAAGTCCTGGCCTCAGGTGATCCGCCCACCTTGGCCTCCCAAAGTGCTGGGATTTCAGGCTTGAGCCCCCGTGCCGGGCCTAAGCTGACATTTCTCACCCCCTCCGGGCCCTGTACACAGTAGGTGCTCCCCAGAGGCTTTCTGCTTGACAACTCTCATTTCCTCCCTCCCTCCCTCTTGTCTTCAGTCCCGTTCAAACAGGTTTCACTCCCCCCCCCAAACTGCTGGTCCAGGTCACGGACTGCCTCCGTAGGCCGGTGTGAGGGTCCATTCTCCGCCCTCCTCTTTCTGACCTTGAGGCAGCATCTGCCCTGGTCCCCTCTGCCCTCCTCGAAGAAGCCTTGACCTCCCTCTGGGACCCCAGACTCACCTGGTTCTCTTCCTCTCATCCCAGCTTCTGATACTCAGGCTCCCCCAGCTTCATCGACGACTCTAAACACCCGCTATGTGCCAGCAACACCCATATCCCCTTCTCCAGCCAGACCTGGCCTCTGACCCCAGCCTCGCCCTCCTGTTCCCACCTGGCCTCAGCCTGCCCATCTCAGGCCATGGGGCCCACTCTCCACCCAGCCGCCTCTTCCCTCCCCAGCCCCCCAAATGCATCAGCAGCTCCTGCAGCCCCTGCTCCCAGACGGGCCTGGCCACTACCCCATGTTCTCACCTGTGCCACCCCGGGCCCTCAGGAGACCCTGCTGCCTCCTCCCCGTAGCAGTCAGGGGTGGCTTTCCCCACACTAGAGTAACCCTCCCATATGGGGGCTTAAACCCCTCCCATGACTCACCCCAGGCCCCCTCTGACCTCATCTCCACCCCCCGCCCCCACATACCACGCCACTTGCTCCACCACCCAGAGCTCCTGACTGTCCCTTAGTCCCTTATTTTAGTCTCTGGGACCTGAACTGCCCGTCTCTCTTTTTTGTTTTTTGGGGTTTTTTTTGTTTGTTTGAGACAGAGTCTCGCTCTGTCGCCCAGGCTGGAGTGCAGTAGTGCAATCTTGGCTCACTGCAGCCTCCGCCTCCCCCCGGGTGCAAGCGATTCTTGTGTCTGTCTCTCGAGTAGCTGCGATTTCAGGCACCCACCACCGTGCCCGGCTAATTTTTGTATTTTTACTAGAGACAGGGTTTCACCACGTTGGACAGGCTGGTTTCAAACTCCTGACCTCAGGAGATCTGCCCGCCTCAGCCTCCCAGAGTGCTGGGATCACAGGCGTGAGCCACAGCCCGGGCCTGCCCTTCTCTCCAGAGAGGCCCTTCCTGACACCGCCCGCCGGGGCCATCTGCGGCGGGCCTCGGCTGTTTTCTCCCACGGTCCAGATGGGAAGGTGGGATTCTATGCTCCCGCGGGCTGCCTTAGCCGCTGGCCTGGGCCCGGCTGGGTGGTTCACAGCTCAGGTGCACAGTAAATGGTATGTGGTGGCTCTGCTGTGACATGGTACTGGCTGGAGGACAGATCGAGCTGGACCAGCAACGCCCTGTATGTCCCCAGCAAACCTCTCTCTGTGGTCAGCTCTGTAAACACCCGCTGTGTGCCAACAACACGTGTGGGACAGCAGAGTGGGCTTCTTGGAGGAGGCGGTGCTCAGGCTGAGCCTGGGTAGAGCTCAGGGAGTCAAAGGGTAGTACCCCACCCTTCCTTTAGTGCCCCAGCCCCTCGGCCCGCCCGCCAGGGGCTGGTGGGGCCCAGAACCCCACAGCCTGGTCTCATCCCTGCGTGGGTGGGCACGGGGCGGCGCACAGACACCCAGTAGGAAACCGCGGGAAAGGGTGGGGTGGGGAGAGTCCCGGGGTGCCCCTCGCATTGCTGGTCCTCGCAGAGTGGATTCTAGATGGAAGGTTCTCGGTGGAGACCCCTGTCGGCCCCACTGCTGGGATGGGGAAACTGAGGCCGGAGAGGGTGGGGCCGCTGCTGCGAGGGAGAGGGACCGCCTGGACCCGGGTCTGGCTCTGAAGCCCGGCTGGCAGCCCCGGGGCCCCGCAGGGAGGGCGGGAGGCGGGGTGGGGCGCGTCCCCTGGTGACAGCAGCGCCCGGGAATGCGCCAGCTGGGAGGGTCTCTCCACCCCCCGCGCGCGGCCCCCGGGGCCGAGCTTCTCCCAGTGCGCTGGGGCCCTACGCTGGGGGTGGCCGGGACCTGGGGCGGGGAACCCCCGGGTGGGAGCCCAGGCGCGCGGGGGTCCCCATCCACGAGTGGGGCGACCCCCGCGGGAGGGGTGGGCGGGCAGGACCAGGGGAGGGGCTGTGACCGGAGACGGGGACCCCGGCGGGGACGCAATCCGGGCGTCGGCGGGGTGGGGGCAGCGCCCCGGACTCCCAGACCCAGGGCGGGGTGATCTCGGTTCGCGCACATTCCCGGGCCCTGAGAGCGGCGCCCGGAATAGCAGCCCCGGGGCAGAGCGGGGGGTCAGTGCCCGCGCCGCGCCTCCGTCCGAGCCCGCCAAGGTCACCGGGACCGGGCGCTGCACAGCAGCCGGCGACTGCGGGGCCCTGCGCTCCAGTGCGCCGGGCAGTCCCCTGCCGCAGATCCGCTCCCGCCGCGCGAGGGCGCCCGGGGCCGCCGCCCCTCCTCGCCCCGGCCTGGGCGCGCCCGTGGAGGCCGCAGTGGGAGGGGCCGTCCCAGGCTCCCCGCGCCCGGCACCTCGGGCCCCGCCGCTTCCGCCCGCCCTGCGGCCGCTCAGGGAGCCGGGACGCGCTGCCTGGGCTCTGCGCAGCCGGTAAGTCCCTCTTCCTATCCTCCCACTTCCTCCGGGGGAAACTGAGGCCCAGAGGTGCGCCTTGCCCTGAGATCCCACCGCCGGTCCGGGGTGCAACCCACACGGGCGGGGAGAGCCTTGATCTGGGGGGGAGGGCTCACTGTGGAGCGGGGAGGCTCTCTTTGTGGCCCCTTTTCATCAGCCAAAACCCCACTCCCCAAGCCGGGCTCAGAAGCTGGTGGGGTTGTCAGAAGGTCAAGCTCCCCTCTGTTTTGTTTGTTTTGTTTTTGAGACAGAGTGTCCCTGTGTCACCCAGGCTGGAGTGCAGTGGCCCCATCTCAGCTCACCGCAACCTCTGCCTCCCGGGTTCAAGCGATTCTCCTGCCTCAGCCTCCCGAGTAGCTGGGACTACAAGCGTGCGCCACCACGCCCGGCTAATTTTTGTATTTTGGTAGAGACGGGGTTTCACTATATTGGCCAGGCTGGTCTCAAACGCCCGACCTCAGGTGATCCGCCTGCCTCGGCCTCCCAAAGTGCTGAGATGACAGGTGTGAGCCGCCGCACCTGGCCCCACTCCACCTGTTTTAACTGTCTGGTTCCTACTTCTTCCTGCTTCCCGGGCCAGCCCAGGCTCTGAGCTCAGAGAGCAGCACGGACAGACGCAGCTGGCCACCCAGCCGTCTGAGCACCTGGAGACACCCCAGACCCCGGACCCCTGGTGCCCCAGAGGTCCAAATGCTGGAGCCAGTAGGGCCTGAGAGCCAGGGAAATGGGGTCCAAATGGGACCCAGCCTCCTCCCCAGCTGCTGCCTGGGCCAGGGCTCACCCGCCTGCCCGCCCTTCAGGCTCTGCTGGCATGGGACCTCCTGGCTCACTGGATGGCCACTTCCCTTCCCTCCCTTCTCCCTGCAGGCCGGGGTCACGAGGAGGGTGTGGATGGCAAGTGACTTCATCCCTGCCCCGACAGATGGAGAAACTAAGGCTCAGAGAGGCAGTCAGCCTCCTCCCCGTCCCTGCTCCAGCCTCAGCAGTGGCCCCTTCCCTCCACGGCCACCCCGTCGCTCAGTCCCACCCCCTCCACCGATGAGGCCATGAGGCACCGACTGGACCCAGGCCAGGTCACCCCTTTCTGCCCCACCCCCAATCCGGAGGACTCTCTGCTCTCTGGGAGCTGAGGGAGCCCTGGGCCCGGGGTACAGCTGGGGGCCTCTGCCAGGGACCCAACTCCTGACCCAGCCCCTGCCGGCCGCACCTTCTGTAGGGTCTCACAGAATCATGGACTGAGTCCACCTGGCCCCCACTGCACAGATGGGGAAATTGAGGCCTGAGACAGTGGAGTGGCTGGCCTCAGGCCACGCAGAAAGGTAGAAGCTGGGATGGTGGGGAGGGCAGGGAGGGCAGGGAGGGGGCCCAGCCCTAGGAGTCACCTGTGTACTATTCGTGAATGATGTCTCCCGTCATCAAGCATCAATTAAGCACCTACTGTGTGCATTCTAGCACAATACACAATCAATAATAACTTCAGGCTGGGCGCAGTGGCTCATGCTTATAATCCCAGCACTTTGGGAGGCCGAGGCAGGTGGATCACTTGAGGTCAGGAGTTCAAGACCAGCCTGGCCATCATGGAGAAACCCCATCTTTGAATAAATAAATAAATACAAAAATTAGCCAGGCGTGGTGGCGGGCACCTGTAATCCCGGCTTCCAGAGGGTGAGGCAGGAGGATTGCTTGAGCCCGGGAGGGTTGCAGTGAGCCAAAGTTGCACCGCTGCGCTCCAGCCCGGGTGACTGAGTGTCGGTCTCAAAAAACATAATTTGAGTTCTTCTCCATCCCGTGTTCCACACCTCCTGACTTTACCTGATCCATAGGAACCCTCAACTTTCCCACAAGGGGGGGCTCTGTTACCCCATTTTTCAGAGAGGAGAGGTGGGGCACAGAGAGGTTTAGTTACTGTCCGGGATCACACAGCCAGTCAAGGCAGAGCCCGGACACAACGCTGTGTCTCTGGCGGTGGCTGCCTGGACTCAGCCCCTCTGCTCCCCAGGCCCCGCCTCTTCCAGAACCTCCTGCTCTTCCTGTGGGCCCTGCTGAACTGTGTTTTGGGGCTCAGTGCTCAGGTAAGGGGGGGCATGAGCCCGGGGGATGGTGAGTGGGAATGGGGACCCAGTCAGCAGTGTGGGGTCACCAGCATCCCCCCGCCAGGCTGACCGTGCCTCTGTCTCCCCAAGTAGGGTCCAGGCGAGTGGACCCCGTGGGTGTCCTGGACCCGCTGCTCCAGCTCCTGCGGGCGGGGCGTATCTGTGCGCAGCCGGCGCTGCCTGTGGTGAGCGGGCCGGGATGGGGTCCCTGCACCCCCCTCCCTGCCCAGCCTGGCCCCTGGCCGCACCCTCGGCCTGCCCACACATGCTGTGCCCTTTAATCCCGCTGATCCCGCTGGAATGTGGGTGGGGTTGGTGGGGGTGGAGGGTGGAAGGCCAGCCCTGGGAGCGGGTCCCTGGGGGTTCTCTCCACACTCTGGCTCCCTGCAGGCTTCCTGGGGAAGAGCCATGCTGGGGAGACTCCCATGAGTACCGCCTCTGCCAGCTGCCAGTAAGCCCTGCCCACCTCCCAGATGCCCTCCCCACCCCAGGCTGCCCTGAAGCCCACACCTGTCCCTGGGGTTGTCCCAGCCTCTGGCCCTCCTATCTCTGCCCCCAGGACTGCCCCCCAGGGGCTGTGCCCTTCCGAGACCTACAGTGTGCCCTGTACAATGGCCGCCCTGTCCTGGGCACCCAGAAGATCTACCAGTGGGTGCCCTTCTATGGGGGTGAGTAGCCTGATCTCCTGTGGTCAGGATTGGGCCAGAGTGAACAACTTATTACTCTCAGGAAGAGGGACTTGGAGTGTTGCAAAGAGAAGAGGGTATTAGCACTAGGGCTTTGAAGAATATGTAGGAGTTGGTGAAATGAAACAGAAATAGCATATGTCTGGGGTGGAACAGGGGCAGAGGGAAGCAGGGTCCATTGTGCACAGGGCTGAACACCCGACTGAGGATTTACTTAAGAGCTGTATCCAGAGGCCAGTGGTTCTCAAACTTGTCCCAGTAGCAGGAAATGCTGCTGCCCTGAGCTGAAAATAGCAAGTTATATAACCGTGTGCCCCGGGGCAGCGCGCCTCCAGATTTCAGGGAGACAGGCAGCTTCACACGCCATGGGGAAGGCAGTCACAGATGTAAGAAAAGCCTAGAACAGAGAAAGTGCCTCATTTCCCCTTCCTTCCTCCTTCCTTCCTTCCTTCCTGCTCTGAGAATTAGAGGAAACCTGCTGGGTCCCACCCCCCACAGAGGCCCACTAAGGCAGGGTCTACCAGGCAGGCTCAGGGAAATGGGAGCCAGAAGGAGCTGGAGCTGGAGGAGTAGGGATCAGGGCTGTCAGCCTGAGTGTGTGATCAGACGGCCCATTTTGCCCCACTTCCAGATAGAAGGGGAAACTGAGGCCAGGGAGGACCAGCGACACACCTCCATTGCATGATACTCAGTCAGTATACTGGACAAACACATCATTGGGCACTTGCTGGTTGCTTGGGTGAGGTGCTAAGATTTTTTTTTTTTTTTTGAGACAGAGTTTCGCTCTTGTCACCCAGGCTGGAGTGCAATGGCGCAATCTCGGCTCGCCGCAACCTCCGCCTCCCGGGTTCAGGCAATTCTCCTGCCTCAGCCTCCCGAGTAGCTGGGATTACAGGCGCGCGCCACCATGCCCAGCTAATTTTTTTTTTTTTGTATTTTTAGTAGAGACCGGGTTTCACCATGTTGACCAGGATGGCCTCGATCTGTTGACCTCATGATCCACCCGCCTCGGCCTCCCAAAGTGCTGGGATTACAGGCTTGAGCCACCGCGTCCGGCCAAGATTTTTTTTGTTGTTTTTTTCGGGGACAGAGTCTTGCTCTGTCACCCAAGCTGGAGTGCAGTGGCACCATCTCGGTTCACTGCAGCCTCCACCTCCCTGGTTCAAGTGATTCTCCTGCCCCAGCCTCCTGAGTAGCTGGGACCACAGTCACATGCCACCATGCCTGGCTAATTTTTTTTATTTTTGGTAGAGACGGGGGTCTCGCCATGTTGCCAAGGCTGGTCTTGAACTCCTGGGATTAGGAGATCTGCCCACCTCAGCCTCCCAACATGCTGGGATTACAGGTGTGAGCCACCGCACCTGGCCACCCTTAACGCCACCCATCTGCACACTGATTGAGTTCTCGCTTCCGTATCCTAGAGCTTAGAAGAGTATCTGGAAAACAGGTGTTCAGTGGAATGAAGGATGAGTGATGGCGTTAATAATGAATACTACGTAAGGACTCCTAATATAAAGACTACCAATGAATGAATCCAGCCCCAGGATACTTGCCTGGGAGTCCTAGGTTGCTGGAGGCAGAGCACTTATGGCCCAGTCCTGGCTCTGCCTCAGCCTCGATACGTGGCTTTGGCTGAATCTCTGGGCTTCATCTGCCCAAGGCGATGGTTGCCTGACGGACCTTGGTATAGGGAGACTGGAACTGGAATAGGAGTCCCAGGCCCACGGACTCCTCCCGCCCTCAGCGCCCAGCCAGTGTGACCTCAACTGCCTGGCCGAAGGGCACACCTTCTACCACAGCTTCGGCCGCGTCCTGGATGGCACCGCCTGCAGCCCGGGTGCCCAGGGGGTCTGCGTGGCTGGCCGCTGCCTAGTAAGGACTCGCGGGGGCCCAGTCTGAGCCCTGCCTACCTCCCATTCAGGCTCCACCCACAGCCTCCCCTCTAGGCTCCACCCACCCATAGGCTCCACCCACCCACCCTCCCCTTCTAGGCCCCGCCCATCACTAGATCCCGCCCCCATCCACCTTTGGGCCCCACCCCTTGGTGCCACGCCCATCTCCTCCCTCTAGGCCCCGCCCCCTCTTCCCTAGGCTCCACCCCCATCTTCCCTCCAGGCCTTGTCCTTTTACTCCCACGCTCTGCCCTTTCCCCAGGTCCTGCCCCTCCCAGCGCCAGTCACACCGCGCCTGTCCTTTACCCTTTAGAGCGCCGGCTGTGATGGGTTGCTGGGCTCCGGCGCCCTCGAGGACCGCTGCGGCCGCTGCGGAGGCGCCAACGATTCGTGCCTATTCGTGCAGCGCGTGTTTCGCGACGCCGGTGACTGCCCGCCCCGTCCTCCCTGCACACACGTCAGAGCGGGCCCTTTAACAAGCCGCGGCCCGGAAGCAAATTTTCGTGCTGATTGGGTAGTGTGCGGTCCAGCCCCCCTTTCTCTTCATCCTGATTGGCTATTGACAGATTGTCCCACCCTCCCCAGAACGGATGGGGTTTTAACGCTTTCACTGCCGCACCGAAGCGACAGTAACTGTGTCCAAACGTCTACGGAGGGTTTCCGGTTCCCACGACTCTGGCGAGCTGTCTAACCCGCAGTAGGTCATTTAATCCTCAAGTCATCGCTCAAATGCACCCCTACTGGCACCCCGACACCCTCCTACCCTCCCCGCCAGGTGCCTTCTCTGGGTACTGGAACGTGACCCTGATCCCCGAGGGCGCCAGACACCTCCGCGTGGCGCACCGGAGCCGCAACCACCTGGGTATCCTCGGATCTGACGGGGGAGGCAGCGGCCAGCCGCCCGGGGACGGGGCGTCCCTGTTTACAGATGGGGAGACTGAGGCCTGGGGAGGGGACCCCAGGGTCTGGGAGGCGAGATGGGCTCCTGAGGGCTGGCTGTTCCCTTGCAGCGCTGATGGGGGGCGATGGGCGCTACATCCTCAACGGGGACTGGGCAGTCAGCCCGCCTGGGACCTACGAGGCGGCCGGCACGCATGTGGTCTACACCCGCGGCCCAGGGCCCGAGGAGACGTTGCACGCAGCCGGGCCCACCTCCGACGACCTGCTCCTGCAGGTGCCACCGGGCCTCCAAGAGGGTCAGAGGGGGGCTGGGGAGAGAGGGACAGAGGGGGGCTGGGGAGAGTGGGACAGAGGGGGGCTGGGGAGAGAGGGACAGAGGGGGGCTTGGGAGACAGGGTCAGAGGGGGGCTTGGGAAAGAGGGACAGAGGGGGGCTGGGGAGAGAGGGACAGAGGGGGGCTTGGGAGACAGGGTCAGAGGGGGGCTTGGGAAAGAGGGACAGAGGGGGGCTGGGGAGAGAGGGACAGAGGGGGGCTGGGGAGAGAGGGACAGAGGGGGGCTGGGGAGAGAGGGACAGAGGGGGGCTGGAGAGAGAGGGACAGAGGGGGGCTGGGGAGAGAGGGTCCCAGGGGGGCTGGGGAGAGAGGGTCCGAGGGGGGCTGGGGAGAGAGGGTCCCAGGGGGGCTGGGGAGAGAGGGACCGAGGGGGGCTGGGGAGAGAGGGACCGAGGGGTCTGGGGAGAGAGGGTCTGAGGCGGGCTGGGGAGAGAGGGTCCGAGGGGGGCTGGGGAGACAGGGTCAGAGGGGAGCTGGGGAGAGAGCGTCCGAGGGGGTGCAGCTGGGGACAAGTCAGAGAGGGGAGGCTGGTGACAGAGGGTGTCGGCTGGGGACAAAGCATCAGCAGTGAGAGGCTGGGAACAGGGTTATGGGGGAGTTTAGTGACAGGGTTGGCTGGGAACAGAGGGTCAGATGGGAGGGTGGGGGCAGAGCATCAGAGAAGGGAGGCTGGAGACAGGGTCAGAGGGGGGAGGCCAGGGATAGGGTCAGAGGGGGGAGGCCGAGGACAGTGTCAGAGGAGGGAGGCCGGTGACAGGGTCAGTGGAAGGAGGTTGGGAACAGGATCAGAGGAGGGAGGCTGCAAAGAGGGTTGGGGGAGGCTGGGGACAGGGTCGGAGGGAGGAGGCTGGGGACAGGGTCAGAGGGAGGAGGCTGGGGACAGGGTCAGAAGAAGGCTAGGGACAGAGCATCAGAGGGAGGAGGCAACCCCAGCCTCTGGAGCAGTTCCCTGTGTGCCTCTCCCCTCCAGGTCCTCCTGCAGGAGCCCAACCCGGGCATCGAGTTTGAGTTCTGGCTCCCCCGGGAACGCTACAACCCCTTCCAGGCGCGGGCGCAGGCCCTGGGCTGGCCCCTGCGGCAGCCTCAGCCCCGGGAGGTGGAGCCACAGCCCCCCGCAGCCCCCGCTGTCTCCCCTGCACAGACCTCACCCCTGGCCCCAGGTGAGGTGGGGAAGGCCAGGGTGGGGGGCGATTTGGGGCAGAGGCCTGTGCCCCTCACAGCACTGCCCACCCCACAGACCCCTGCCCACCCTGTCCCGACACCCGAGGCCGCGCCCACCGACTGCTTCACTATTGCGCCAGTGACTTTGGTGAGACCCCCGGGGCCCTTCCCTCACTTAGCCCCCTGCTAACCTGGCTTCCCCATAATCTCTGCCCCTAACCTGACTTTACCCTTGACCCCTTCTCCTGACCTTATGTGACCCCTGATCCCTCGTCGACCCCTGACTTGAGGCTGACTCCAGTCACTGTAGATCCCGAGGTCCCACCTGACCCTCAGCCCCTCTTCTGGCAACGGGGGCATGGAGATTTTCGCAGAGTGGAGCCTGCAGCCAGCTCAGCGCCCACCCTGCCCACAGCGTTCCAGGCCCGCGTGCTGGGCCGCCACCGCCAGGCCCAGGAGACCCGCTACGAGGTGCGTATCCAGCTGGTCTACAAGAACCGCACGCCCCTGAGGGCCCGCGAGTACGTGTGGGCGCCGGGCCGCTGCCCCTGCCCGATGCTGGCACCCCACCGGGACTACCTGCTGGCTGTCCAGCGCCTCGTCAGCCCCGACGGCACACAGGACCGGCTGCTGCTGCCCCACGCCGGCTACGCCCGGCCCTGGAGCCCGGCCGAGGACAGCCGCATACGCCTGACTGCCCGGCGCTGTCCTGTCTGATCCCCCAGGAACCCTGGCCACACACACAGCAAGAAACATACATCTGACCAGGCTCAAAGTCAACGTATTTCCCCTCTCGCCCTGGCTTCCAGGCTGCTCTGAAATGTGTCCCACCTGCAGCAATGTGACTCCCTCTCACACACAGACACCTCTGCATGCTGCCACTGTCACCGTCACAAGCCGGCAGGCGCTGGTGAGGAAACACTGAGGACACTCTGACTTATTTCACCTCTCTCCCTGGCTGCCAGGAAGCTCATGGCTATTTATACTCAGAAAGTTGTTTTTTGTTGTTGTTTTGTTTTGTTTTTTAAACATGGAACGCTTCACGGATTTCCATGTCATCCTTGTGCAGGGGCCACGCTCATCTTCTCTGTATCGCTCCAGTTTTAGGGTAGGTGATGCCGAAGCGAGCACTGTACTCCGGAGGTTTAGGTCTGCCCTCATTGTCTGCATCACACGCACTTGCTCGGAGACACCACCAGGAACAAGCCTGACACCCCCGCCCTGGGCACCAGCGAGCTCGTCTGTTTACTTCCCCGACGCTGCTGTGTCTCCTCTCTGCTACTCACACACACCCTCATGTGTGAAGGGCAGACACTGTCACGAGCAGGCACGCCTCTTAGAAGACTCGCCTACCTGCCAGGCACGGTGGCTCAGACCTGTAATCCCAGCACTTTGGGAGGCCGAGGCGGGTGGATCACGAGGTCAAGAGATCGAGACCATCCCAGTCAACATGGTGAAACCCCGTCTCTACTAAAAATACAAAAAATTAGCCAGGCATGGTGGCGCGTGCCTGTAATCCCAGCTACTTGGGAGGCTGAGGCAGGAGAATTGCCTGAACCCAGGAGGCGGAGGTTGCGGTGAGCCGAGATCGCACCATTGCACTCCAGCCTAGGTAACAAGAGCGAAACTCCGTCTCAAAAGAAAAAAAATAGAAGACATGCCTACCAAGCACTGTAACATACCAATTTCCCCTTTTTCCTGCCTACCAGGAAACTCAGAGACAGGCTTTTCAGCCTGGGCATTTCTGGCTGGATTTCCACCCATCCACATGTGTCCACCGCCTCCTTTTTTTTTTTTTCTTTTTTTTTAATGAAGTCTTGCTCTGTCCCCCAGGCTGGAGTGCAGTGGTGGTGATCTCAGCTCACTGCAACCTCCACCTCCTGGGTTCAAGCAGTTCCCCTCCTCAGCCTGCCAAGTAGATGGGACTACAAGTGCATGGCACCGTGCCCAGCTAATTTTTTGTATTTTTAGTAGAGACGGGGTTTCACCATGTTGACCAGGATGGTCTCGATCTTTTGACCTCGTGATCCACCCGCCTCGGCCTCCCAAAGTGCTGGGATTACAGGCATGAGCCACCGCGCCCGGCCCACTTTTTTTTTTTTTTTAAGCACTCCAGTCACATGCACTCAGCCACAGAGGCTCAGGGACACACTGGTAGAACCCTGGCACAGTTTTGCTCATGGGTAGACACGTGGTCACCCACACCCGACTCCTCCTCCCAGTCCAGCCCCACCTCCTCCCTGCACGTCTGACCCAGTGTGGGGAGAGGGCAGGGAATGTATGAGGTGGGGAATGGGCCTTTGGGAGGTCCTGAGGCCCCCGACCTGCTGCATATTTTCTCAGGCCCACCCAGGAACCCCTCCCAGCTAAGGAGGCAGGTGAGAGCCGCTGCTGTCTGCTGGCTGCCAGCCCGCTATGTTCTTCTGCAACCAGGAGGGCCGGCGTGGGCTGTGCGTGCATCAGGGGGTGTCACAAGGTCACTCAGCAAACCCTCCCCTGTGGGGTAACCCTGTGGCTCCCACCCCAGATGCACAGCTCATGCTGCCACCTGGGACAACCCGCTGTGTGTGGGACATGGTTGCATTTCTCCCTGGGGCCTGCGGTGTCTGGGGTCCGTGGGTCCCTGCTGACCGCGAGGCACGGTTAAGCTGCACCCACCAGGTAGGGAGCAGCCGGAGAGGCTGAAGGCCAGGGCGGCGGCCCAGGCAGAGGGAGTCAGCCATGGGTGTACAACACTGGTGAACTCAGCCCCCGACCTTGGTGACCCCAGGCCAGGCGCAGTCCCTCCCGGCCTCAGTTTCCCCATCTGCGAGTGACTCCCTCCAAGCCCCTGCCCCCTGTGACACGGGAGTTAGGCTCTCCCGGAGTCCTCCCCTAGCGCCCTTTCTTCCTTCTCACATTTCTGCAAGTGCTTATTGAGCACCGACTGCATACCAGGAACCCCAGCGGGACCCGGGACGGCCAGGGGCTTCAGTGACCTGGTGCCTTCTGTGATTGACGTCACAGAAGCAAGAGCTTCCCAGGAGCTCCCCGGACTGTGGGTGCTGCGGGGATGCGTGGGGCCGCGGTGCCCCCTGGTGGCCGGACGCGGGATGACGGGACTCCGCGCGCTCTGCGTGGCTGGCAGCCCAAGAGCCCGGGTCTGGCACTGTTACCCAGGCTGGAGTGCAATGGCGCGATCTCGGCTCACCGCAACCTCCGCCTCCTGGGTTCAGGCAATTCTCCTGCCTCAGCCTCCCGAGTAGCTGGGATTACAGGCACGTGCCACCACGCCCGGCTAATTTTTGTATTTTTAGTAGAGACGGGGTTTCACCATGTTGGCCATGCCGGCCTTGAACTCCTGACCTCAGGTGATCCACCCACCTCGGCCTCCCAAAATGCTGCGATTACAGGTGTGAGCCACCGCCCCCGGCCGGTGAAACCACTGTGGAAAGCAGTGTGGCACCGTCTGCCACGGTTGGATGTATGATCGCTGTCGTGGGCTGGATGGGGGTGTCCAAGTCCTCACCCCCCAGAAACTCCTACTGCGACCTCACTTGGTGATAACTAAGGAGCTTGACATGAAATCATCCGGGAATTAGGTCGGATCTGAAATCCAATGACAAGCATCCTTAGAAGGGATATAGAGGGCAGGGTCAGGCCAGGCGCGGTGGCTCACAGCTGTATCCCAGCGCTTTGGGAGGCCAAGGTGGATGGATGACCTGAGGTCAGGAGTTCGAGACCAGCCTGGCCAACATGGCGAAACCCCGTCTCTACTAAAACTACCAAAATTGCCTGGGCGTGGTGGCGTGCGCCTATAGTCCCAGCTACTCGGGAGGCTGAGGCAGGAGAATCGCTTGAACCCAGGAGGCAGAGGTTGCAGTGAGCCGGGATCACGCCATTGCACTCCAGCCTGGGTGACAGAGAGAGACTTGGCCTCAAAAAAATTAATTAAATAAAATAGTATGAGGGACTGAAGGTCACTATTTCCACCTGATGAAACAGGCGCGTCCTCCTCCCCATCTGTGTTCCCTGGGTGTGCTGACCTGGGCGGGCCGGAGTCAGTTTTGCTGCTCCCCTGCCGGTGAAGGTGAGGGACTATGCCAGGTGCAGAGCGAGCCTGGCACCCTACCTCCTCCCCTGGGGCCGTGGCCAGACCACATTCTTCACAGCAGCTGGGCCGTGATCCACAGATTCGCAGAGCCCTGTCTGCCATCCCCGTGTGGTCACAGATGCAGGGTGGGGGGTGATTAATGATTACCCCTGCCCCTCCCTCTGATACATCCTGCACCCCGAGTGAAAGACAAAGTCTCGGGCGCGGTGGCTCACGCCTGTAATCCCAACACTTTGGAAGGCCAAGGCGGGCGCGTCATCTGAGGTCCAGAGTTTGAGACCAGCCTGACCAACAAGGAGAAACCCCGTCTCTACTAAAAATACAAAATTAGCCGGGTGTGGTGGCGCGTGCCTGTAATCCCAGCTACTGGGGAGGCTGAGGCAGGAGAATCGCTTGAACCCGGGAGGCGGAGGTTGCAGTGAGTTGAGATCATGCCATTGCATTCCAGCCTGGGCAACAACAGCAAAACTCTGTCTCAAAAAAGAAATAAAAAGACCAAGTCCCCCCGCCCCGCAAGCCCTCTCAGTGCCTGTGTGGTGCAGCCCCGAAGACTGCCCTCCTCCCTGCCCTCCTCTTCTCTGCTCCCACCACAGAGGCCTCCTCCCTGTTCCTCCCACTCACTAGCATATTCCTGCCTCAGGGCCTTTGCACAGGCTGTGCCCTCTGCCTGTAACACCCCTTTTTTTTTCCAGACAGAGTCTCACTCTGTCACCCAGGCTGGAGTGCAATGGCGCGATCTCCGCTCACTGCAACCTCTGCCTCCCAGGCTCAAGTGATTCTCTTGCCTAAGCCTCCCGAGTAGCTGGGATTACAGGCGTGCGTCACCATGCCCGGCTAATTTTGTATTTTTAGTAGAGACGGGGTTTCTCCATGTTGGTCAGGCTGGTCTCGAGCTCCTGACCTCAGGTGATCCACCAGATTCAGCCTCCCAAAGTGCTGGGGATTACAGGTGTGAGCTACCGCGCCCGGCTGACCATTCTTTTGGAGACGGGGTCTCCCTCTGTTGCCTAGGCCACGATCGTGGCCAGGCATGGTGGTGCGTGCCTGTAGTCCCAGCTACACAGGAGGCCAAGGGAGGGGGATGTCTTGATCCCAGAAGGCTGAGGCTGCACGGAGCCATGATTGCACCACTGCACTCCATCTCGGCAACGAAGCCAAATCCTGTGTCCCCTCCCCCCCAAAAAAGTATCTCCAGACAAGACCCAAAGGCCCAGGGACAGAACTGCTCCCGGCTGCAAAACACTGAGTTATGGCCCCTTAGGCAAATATAATAACAAGTCTCACTCTGTTGCCCAGGCTGGAGTGCAATGGCGGGATCTCGGCTCACCGCAACCTCCGCCTCTTGGGTTCAGGCAATTCTCCTGCCTCAGCCTCCCGAGTAGCTGGGATTACAGGTGCGCGCCACCATGCCCAGCTAATTTTTGTATTTTTAGTAGAGACGGGGTTTCACCATGTTGGCCAGGATGGTCTCGATCTCTTGACCTCGTGATCCACCCGCCTCGGCCTCCCACAGTGCTGGGATTACAGGCGTGAGCCACCGCGCCCGGCCCATTTTTGTATTTTCAATAGAGATGGGGGTTTCACAATGTTGCCCAGGCTGGTCTTGAACTCCTGACCTCAAGTGATCCACCTGTCTCAGCCTCCCAAAGTGCTGGGATATAGGCGTCAGCCACCGCACCCGGCCTGGGAGAGTTTTACGAGAAGCAGGTGCGGCCGGGTGCGGTGGCTGACGCCTATATCCCAGCACTTTGGGAGGCCGAGAAGGATGGATCACCTGAGGTCAGGAGTTCGAGACCAGCCTGGCCATCATGGTGAAACCCCCATCTTGGAATTTAAAAAAAAAGAGAGAAGCAGGTAAATGCAAATGGGCTGGATAATTACTTTGGGAGGGAAGGGAGAAGGCACTGTGGGGAAGGACAAGTGTTTCTGGGACTCGCACCCGTCTTGGCCATGCGGCTGGACCTTTAGTGGGTCAATCAGCCTCTCTGGGCCTCAGTCTCCTCATCTATTAAATGGGCTGGTCCACACAGCTGAGACT